ACATTGGCGGAGGCTTTGGTCAACACTCCGTCGCATTCAAGAAGAAGTTTCCTCAACTGCCTGGCCACATCGTCGTTCAGGATGTGCCTTCAACACTTGCGCATGCGCCTTACGTGGACGGTATCGAGTTCCAAGCCCATGACTTCTTCACCCCGCAACCTATTCGTGAAGCAAAGTTCTACTATCTCAGGCATATCATGCATGACTGGACGCATGAAGACTGCATTCGCATCCTCTCAAACATCGTTCCTGCCATGGGTCCGGAATCGCGCATCTTGATCGATGAGGTGGTGCTACCGGAGACGAGGGTGCCTTGGCAGGTCGCTATGATGGATCTTGCGATGATGGCGTCGCTGGGCGGCATCGAGCGGAGCAGGGAGGACTGGGCAAAGTTGTTGGAGAGCGCGGGACTGAAGATCGCGGATGTGCATCGCTATGATGAGGTGAGATACCATTCTGTCATTACGGCTGTGCCGAAATGAAACGCAGGCTTGTAAGTAGTAAAGCGGAACTTTGTAATAGCATTGTAGAACAATGGGACGCACTCAACTCAGTCATTGCAAACGTGGCTTACTAATGCAGCAGCCACCAACTCCGCGGCCTTCTGCCGGCATCGCAAGTGCAACCATCACGAAAATCACGATTTCGACCAACCCAGCCCAAACCGCGCCCTGACAAACTTCACACGCCTTCCGCCCTTTTCTGCACCATGGCGATCTCGGAGTACGGGCAAGTGCATTTAGGAATAATCGGAGTATGCCAAAAAGCTCCGAAGATGCTAATCAACGGTCGAAGGCGGGGCAGGCCCAGACACGCCGCTCCACTAACCGTCGCTCCGCCGATAGGGTAGGGCGCATCGAGCGTTAACACGCCCTATGCGTCTGGTCGCTGTCATAGATGCGTTTTTGCGCCAAGCTACTCTGCTAGATGAGGAATGCGAATCCGGGTGTTCTTTGTTGTCGTATAAGGCACGGTAGGCTCGTATGGTCGACGACCAAACTTCTGAACGAACGGATAAGACATCTTTCTGGTCCACGCTACGAGCGCTTGACGCAATCTGCTGTTGTTTATCTTTCGAAAGACGATAAAAGGGTAGAAGAAGGGGTTTTCGTTCAAGATGGATCCAATCGCCAACCCCGTTGTCCAGATGCAGGACATTCCGACTACGAGCGACGGAAGACCCTATGCTTATGAGGAGCCTGATGAGATTTGGGATGGATTGAGAAGGACGGTGTCGAAGATGACGGGTCGATCGAAGGCGGGCAGCGAAGCGAAACAGTCTGCGCATCATGAGATGGAAGTCAGATCGCATGGGCGCACACGGTCGCATCGGACGCAGCCCATCGATGAGCTAGACGAAGAGCCCGGAATACCCGTTGTGGACGCTGAAGACGATTTCCCCGAGGGTGGGCTACGCGCGTGGCTCGTTGTCGCATCGGCGTGGTTGATGCTGTTTCCTTCCTTTGGCTTCATGGTGTCTATCGGCACGCTTCAGGATTACTGGGGCCAGAACCAACTTTCGTATATGTCGGCACGTGATATCGGATGGATTCCTTCGGTTTTCGTCTACCTGTCACTGGCGCTGGGTATCTGGGTTGGACCGCTCTTCGACCGGTATGGGCCGCGGTGGATCGCTTTGACAGGAAGTGTCATGTTCCTCCTGATGATCTTCCTGCTTGCTGAGTGCGGCAAGTTCTGGCAGATGATCCTCTGTTGTGGCGTCCTGGGAGGGTTCTCCGGCGCCATGCTTACGACGACGAGTCTTGCCGTGGTTGCGCATTGGTTCAAGGAGCGACGAGGTCTTACGCAAGGCATTGCCATGATGGGTAGCTCTGCTGGTGGTCTGACGATTCCGTTGGTCTTGCGGACTACTCTCCCAAAGTATGGCTACTCGTGGTCGCTTCGCATACTGGGCTTCGTCTTCCTCTTTTGCTTCATCATCGCCAATATCCTGATGAAAGCTCGCATCCCACCGTCTGCCGCCGCAAAGAAGAAAGCCATCATCTCACTCTCTATCTACGGCGATCTCAGGTTGAGCTTGTTCACCTTGAGTGTCTTCGGTTTCGAGGTCGTTCTCTTCGGTGGATTAGGCATCATGCCTACCTACGCAACGCTGAGTACGAACTTTCCACCCGACACTGGCTTCTACCTCATCGCTGTGCTCAACGGTGTCTCGTGTCTTGGACGATTACTACCTGGGTATGCCGCGGATAAGATTGGTCGATTCAACACTTTGTTCATCATGATCGTCTTCACGTTGCTCTGGATGCTAGCTCTGTGGTTGCCGCTTGGTACAACGTCTCTCCCGGCACTGTACGCTTTCGCAGCGCTCTTCGGTTTCGGAACAGGTTCATGGATGGCGTTGACACCTGCATGCGTAGGACAGCTATGCAGGGCAGAGGAATTTGGCCGATACTATGGAAGCATGTACTTCATTGCGTCCCTCGCAACGCTGGTCTGCATTCCGATCAGCGGAGAGCTTGTTGAAACAGTTGGACCCCAGCCAATGGTAGCTTTCTTCTGCGCGATTCTCGGTTTGAGTCTGATCAGTTTCTTGTTCAGTCGGTGGGCATGTTTGGGAAGGCGTTGGACGCTGAAAGTAAAGGTCTGAGCGATTTGATAGATGAATTCGTCATGCTAGGAAACGAGCACGCTATGATGCTACCCACAATTCTGTTGTTGAGCGGACCGAACTAGCGTAAAACAGTCCTGGTAGTGCGAACATCAAGAAAACTTCATCGCGCTAAGATCGGCCCCTTCCGAAAATTCACGATTTAGTGGGAACTAGTCCATCTAGCAAATCACATGCCTACGCTTTACACCTGTCAAGAAAGGGTTTACAACTGAGTAAGTCTATCGATAAAGCGTGATAGACGTCTAGCCGCCTAGACGCTGCGGCGAGGTTCAAACCTCCAAAACCTCGCACCATGATGGGTACCTAGGTATTCGTATAGTACTTCCCAACTGCATTCCGCGCCACCACATGGTGGTCCAGGCTCACAACAGATTTACATGACGTGCTTTGATAGCGCCGAAAGAAATTTGCGGGACGAACGGGAAGAAGAGTAAAATATAGTACATAGCACCAAGAACAACTTCATAGTGCGGTCCCTGACATTACCTGGGTACACATCCCCGCCACACTACCGCCTGTGCGTTCTCCAACAATACCCCAGAGCCCTGTCTCCGCGGTCACATCGTAGTCGACAATGTTGGACCAAATCCACCAGCACGACATCGAAAGCTCACCACACATCGACCACCATGGCTCCGACGATGGCAAACCGATTCTCGAACCGCAACTCAATGTCGGTGGGCATGGGGCTACGCAGAGGCGGCTCAAGAATTATCATGTCACCATGATAGGTTTCTGTTCGGGAATTGGCACGGGACTTTTCATCGGAACGGGGTCGGCGTATGCGAGTGCTGGGCCTGCGGGTCTGTTGCTTGCGTATTTGGTTGTGGGAAGTGTGCTTTGGTGTGTTATGCAGAGTATTGCGGAGTTGGCTACTGTGGTGTGTAACTCTTCGGTGTTGGGTTTCAAGGGGTAGTTGCTTACTGTGCACCAGATTCCCACTGCTGGTTCGTTTCCGCATTTTGCAAGTCGGTTTATTGATCCGGCTGTTGGTTTTTCTCTGGCTATTAGCTATGGGTACTGTTATACCATATCCATTGCTGCCGAATGCTCGGCATCCGCTATTCTTGTCGGATACTGGACTGATATGTCGCCTGCTGTTGTCATTTCCATCAGTCTGGTTCTTATACTGGCGACCAACTTGTTGAGTGTACGTTGGTTCGGCGAATCCGAAGTCGTCGCTGGTGCCATCAAGATTGCATGCTTCCTTGGTCTCATTCTGGTTTCCATCGTCATTACCTCCGGAGGCGCGCCAAACGGTGAAACAATTGGCTTCCGCTACTGGAACAATCCAGGCGCATGGGTGGACTATAACGGCATCTCTGGGCCAACAGGTCACTTCCTCGGATTCCTAGCTTCGTTCGTCAACGCAGCGTTCTCCTTCATTGGTGTCGAGGTGGTTGTTATCACCGCTGCTGAGAGCATCAACCCACACTCGGCCATTCCAAAGTCGGCCAAACGGGTCACTTTCCGCATCGCCCTGTTTTACATTCTGGGTGCCCTTCTCATCGGCATCATCGTCGACCCGAGGAACCCCGGTCTCGTATCAGGCACAGGAAACGCCAACTCTTCACCCTGGGTTATCGCGATCAAACAAGCTGGCATCAGCGTCCTTCCTTCGATCGTCAACGCTTGCATTCTCATCTCTGCCTGGTCGGCAGGAAACTCTTACTGCTGGGTCGGATCCCGAATTATTGTCGCTATGACCACGGATCGCCAACTTCCACAAATCTTCGGCCGCACCTGGAAGAACGGAGTACCGTATTACGCGGTCCTTGCGTCTTGGCTTTTTGGACCTCTCGCATACCTCAGCCTGGGCGAGGGAGGTGCGGCGCAGGCTTTCGGTTGGCTCGTGAGTCTCAGCACTGTTGCAGGCTTGATCGCCTGGGCAACATTATGTTTCTGCTTCATCCGCTTCCATGCTGCTATGAAGGCGCAAGGACTCAGCCGGGATAGTTTACCTTGGAAGAGCCCCTTCCAACCTTTTACCGCTTGGTATGGTTTCATCGGATCTACTATCATTACCTTGATCACTGGATTTCCTGTCTTCCTGAAGGGGAACTGGAGTACGGGTGATTTCATCGCCTCGTATATTGGCATCCCACTTTTCATTGTTCCAATCATCATATGGAAGCTGGTGCACAAGACCAAGGTGCGTAAATTGCTCTTTCCGTACGTTGAACCTGCTGACATGATATAGTTCGCTCGTGCTAATACCATCGATCTCCACTCTGGACGTCTTCAGGGAGTGTAGGCTGCAAAATTCCGGATTCTTCGGCGTTGGATGTTTGCGATTGATGAGAGTGGGCATCGAAACACTCGAGTAAGTCGTACTAGAAGGTAGCAGCTGTCCGTGTGAACTGCACTAAGTCTCACCGGAATTGTCCGGGAGCTCTGCGTAATGAAAGTCTACGACAAACATGTCTTGAGAGAGGACTTTGGTCGGTGTGATGAAAACTTTGAAGCTGACGTCTGTCCCGACTACGTAGTCTATCCGGACTCGCCCTGACTCGTTCTGTACGGGCTTTGGCGAGGCACTAGTGTGAAATGCTTCCAGGATCATGGAACCTTGCTCCCAGACGGCATCTTTTATATCATACCAGGGTTGCGGCTTCTCTTCCGGGGCGTCTTGTAAGCATCCAAGAGATAGGAAGATCGTGTACTTATTTGCCCACCCCGCTTTATTGACGAGGCCGAATCGCAGTTCTAGGGATGCTGTCCAGGCGAAAGGCGCAATGTGATTGTCCTTGCCCTGGAGGATGCTATCTTTCTCATTCCAAGCTTCTTTGGGGAGGCATCGGCGTACCTCGATGCCTTCTGAGGGTTTGCGAATAAGGAATCCCCATCGGCGCTGGAAACTGTTCTGGACAGTCGATGTACTAGCATATCGGATGTATATTTCTTTGGGAAACGCAGAAGAAGGTACGAATTCGAAAGGGACCAGTGATACTGGATAGCTGACTTCTCGATGATAAATATCGGCAGATAATTGCACCAAAGGGACAATTACGAAGTGCTGGAAGTCGTGAGCCACGTGGCATCTTAAGATCCCCCAAACGACGTCACGATCTGGCCACATCATGTGGCCGTGAAGAGGCCGAATCGCACTGCGTCTATGACTATCGAGCTGATGAGTGTGGAAGAGCGTTTGCCATATGCGTAGCCCCCTGTGAGTCATCGTGGAAGGAGGCACAGGATCGTCTGAAGCGAACGGTATCAAACTTCGTGTTGCCCGAAAATCATTTGGCCCAGACGCGAGTGCGTCTCCGGCCAGCTTATTCATACGGTGTGAAGCCTGCCATGCAAAGAGCGTCTCGTCCTCGGAGATCTTCATGATTTCTTCCTGCAACCTTCTAAACGCCTTGATGTCCCCCTCGCCATACAGCAAAGGTATATTGACATCGAAAACACCAAGTAAGCTGTAAGCGATGTCTTCAGGTCTTGTTGCCTGCCTCCCTGCGGCCCATGACATCCGCATACTGATGCTCGCAGTTTCTAAGCTCTGGCCCTCGAGATACCCCCTGGGTATGCCGGTAATCATTGATATTTTAGTGCAGAGGATGGGCTTGCTTCCAAGAAGTTGCCAGTCGCGCGAGTAGAACTTCATGCCGTCGTATCTACCAGGTGGGGCTTTGATAGGAACCGGAGAATGGTACACCCTGGGGGAGTCCTCGCGATGTTGGAAGCTGCTAGGAGCCAGTAACTCTTGTAACGTCCAAGCACGTGCAAACCATCTGCTGCGTGAAAAGGCGATGCCATCCCTTGCCAAGTAACCTTCCGCGAATGCACCCTCATGCTCGACATCGGCGAGATATGCATAGCACTGCTTTGAATCTCTGTACCACGCAAACATACTGTTGATAGCTTCCGAAAGCTCAGCACTGCTGCTCTTGTCGATACAGCAGGTGTCGATCCATACATAGTTAAACCCATCGCCAATCGCGAGTTCACATGTCTTTTCAATTTTGGCAAATCCCTTCTTTTTCCTCGCTTGCTCTAGATCAGAAAGATCAGAGAAGATGACTTCCTCGTCCTCCCAGCAGTGCGATAGAATCGCGTATGGTGGGATACTGTCGATAAAGGGCTTCAGCTCAAGGGTGTGTGCATTCAGAAGTCGCATGATGAGAGGGGTTCTTTGGACAAGGACACGCTCTACCTGATCGCGGATTTTGATTTAGAGTTTTCGAAAGGTGGATGAACGAGGGCCGAACTTTCCCTCCGTCATGAGCATTACATCTAGGCAACGGGGCACGAGTAGCCAGCCTTGGAAAGCGTTGGAGAACACAAAGGCCTCGACCCCGATGAAAGTCGAACTAACAACAAGCAAGAATTAGGTGAACGACCCAGAGAAATAACCGGACTATCACGACACGAGCGCGAAGAGCAGTACGTTGTTAACGGACGAGGAGAGTGAGTATGGTGATGAAGGAAGGTGGGGCAGGCACGGAGGACGCATGGGCCCTGCTCCGCCAAGACCCTTCGCTTGAAAACGCGCAAGAACTTTGCAGAGCTCCTCTCAGCCTTCTCTCACCACACCCCGGCGGCATAGCTACGACACGAGTTGATGAGATTATCTACAACCGCGCGTCACGCGCGATCAATATATCGCGACATATGAGACCAGATCACCATCTCAACTGCCAGAAAGCGCAGCCACAATCCCAGAACTAACAGCAGACCCAACCTTCCACAGCCCCCAGCCTTCTCTGCAACCAACCAAGTAAGTCCATCACCCTTCTTCACCTACCCGCCCTTCCACACCCCATCTCGCAATGATGAACACAATACAAATCACAAGTTTCAAGACGGATCGGAGAAGGTTTCACGGCCTTTATTGAATGAGTATTTCCTGTCTGAATAAGAGATTACACATACATGTCACGTCGCTTCATTATGTTCGGGGCAGGTTGCTGACGAGTCATCACAGAGTCTAAGCAGTGCTTTATAGCAGTAGGATGCCAGTGGTAGTTCATAGTCATTCGCTTAATGCAAACATGTTTTTTGAAGACCGATATTGTCTCATTATCTCTGTGTGGTCTGTGATGATGCCTGAGGAAGAGAGTGAGACTATGAATACATGGCGTGTTACAATATCGCCTGCAGTATAGCATCGTTATATCATATCACAGAAGGAGACGAGCGTTCTACAGCTAAATGAGTTCTGTAGCAGCGCATGAATCTGGCAATCGATGTCCTGTATTTTGCAATTGCAAACCTTTGCCGTGTGCTGGATACGTAACAAGGACCGACAGGGAAATTCGTTAGCAGGAGGGATCAAAGCCATATTGTTAACTTTGTTGATTCATTCCATGATACAGTTACATACAAGCCCAGAAAAGCAGACGTACGATACCGAAGTAAAAGCAGAGCCTCAAAAAAAGGAAATGAGAGTGCGAAATCCATCCCTTATGAGCGCCTGCCACCGATGAATACAGATCCTTTTCCATTCCGTTCCACCCAGTATCCATTTTTCCATGGTCGTTTCATTGTTATCCTTTGCGTCGCCATCCGTGACTATATGCATTTTGAACCCATGAGGAGACTTTTCGTGTCGTGTCGCGCATCTAGTCTTCCGCCATTGATGCGGTGTTCTTGGTGGTCCTGCCGCTGCGGCGTGGTGTGCCGTCGGCGGTGGCAGCCTTCTTGGGTGCCTTCTTCTTTGCGGGTTCCTTCTTCTCCTTCTTGGCACGGCCGCCCTTCTTGGGAGTGGGCTTTGTCTCGGCTTCTTCCTTGTCCTCGGCTTCATCGTCGTCAGCCTCGTCGGTCTTTGCCTTCTTCTCGGCGGGCTTCTCATCGGCGTCAGCGTCGGCACCGTTGGTCTTATCCGCGGCTACTTCGTCAGCCTTGCGCTTGTCGCCGGCCTGGGGTTCCTCGTCCTTTTCGTCGGACTTGTCTTCTGTCGCGTCGTCCTTGGCCTCTTCTTTTGATTCTTCCTTCGAGTCCTCCTTAGTCTCTTCAGCCTTGGACTCGCCGTTGGTTTGCGCGTCTTCCTTCTTGTCCTCATTGTCAGGCGCGTCCTTCATCTCCTCGTCCTTCTTCTCGGCTTCAGAGGTCTTCTCGTCCTCCTTCTTATCTGAGTCAGCCGACTTGTCGTCATCCTTCTTCTCTGACTCTGCCGGCTTGTCCTCTTCGTTGGAGTCGCCGTTAGCGCCGTCGGCCTTCTCGTCGATCTGGAGTTCGGAAGCGCGCTTCACGACATCGTTGCCAGAGCGCTCGACGTGCACAGCGGGGTTGTCGGGCGAGGCGTTCTTCTTGATGGTGTTGCCCTTCTTGGATTCAATGGCAATCTCGCCTTGGTCCTTGACCTCGGCAGCGGTGCCACCGGGCTGTCCGGAGCCCCAGTTCCATGAGACTGCTCACACGTTAGCAGTGAGTTCCTGAGTCTTTGGCGATTATACCGATCGCGGCAAGGAAGACGCGCGCGGATGGGCAATCGTTACGCGCCAGTGAGCGCAATGCGCCTGGCGGAACCTCGCGATGCGCAGCCACTAACCGGCTGAAGGGGTCTCGGATTGAGAATTGAGAGGCACGTACCCTTGTCTCCTTGTTGGATCTCAGTGTCGGTCATTGTGTGTAACGTAGCTTAGCCGTGGCAGGTGGTAAGAGATGACGTTATGGTGCGCAAAACCGCGTGTAAAGTCGCGAAGGCGGGGCGGAACAGCAATTGATGCGCGTAAAGGTGCAATGGATACGGTGATGCGTAGAAATGATGCGCAAGTGGTGGGAAGAGACGCGACGGGCGGTGTAGAAGAGGAAAGAAGAATGGAAGCCGGGAACCTGAGTGCTGGGAAAGAGCTCTCGAAGATCGGAAGCTGCGATGCTGAGGCGTGATTGGCTGCCCTGACCCACAAACGCCAATCTGTGCAATCTATGGGGAAGGTGGCTGGCGATCGAGCCACGGCGTCATCGGCTGGTCTGTGCACGTTCTCGAAATACATCCTTGTCGATCGCTTCCTTCAGAGCATGGCATTCGAAAATGGGGTGTTGAACTATATTATTGACGGCGTTGTGCCATACTTTCGTGTACTCATGACCAACTCTTGCCTCCCATACCATCTATCACCTTGTCCATCCTGTGCGTGTGTGCATAGTCAAATGCCGTCACCAAAGCTACGAGATGACTAGCTGCCGCAAGAACAACCAAGACGTGAAAGATCTGATGACTCGATCCCCAAATATCGTACTTCCCAGGGCTCCATTTCTCGGGTACCCTCGCAGCATAGATAGCCGCGCCAGCAATATACAGCGCACCCTGCAAGAGAACCCAATCCAACCCAATGCTCTTGCGCAGATGTTCGACACCGTATAGTCGAACGCCGTGGAGTACGGGGAAGACAGCAGAGAGACCCATGAGCACAAACATGAGGGCTCGGAAGGGTCGCAATGCCGGAGTGCGGAACTTGGGGTGTGTTGCTGCGACAGATGTGCCGGCTGCCAGCGTCGTAATCATGGTCCAGTACGTTCTTTGCAGTTCTGGTTCGCTGGCAAAGGCGTAGTATACGATGGGTACGAAGCTGCCCCAAATCAAGAAAACGATTCCCAGATAGTCGAGTTTGTTCCCCCAAACAGCGACTTCGTGTGAGTGGTTCTGTATGGTGTGATATGTCGCGCTCATGCCCAGACATGCTACAGCTCCGGCGAAGTAGCAGCTGAAGGCCCAGACATCTTCTTGAGTCGCTGTGTCATAGCGAGGAGCCAACGTGTTGTAGAGTGCGACGGAGGAGATCGCAGCCATCACAGCTCCAATGAGATGGGTGTAGATGTTGACGGTTTCGTTGTGTAGATACCCCAGGCTCTTCCAAGACTTGACAAATGAGTTAGATTGAGCGCGGTATCCCGATTGAATGTAGTGATTGTCTTGCTGCCATGGCGACAGTTCATCCCATAGCAATATCAACTTTTCTTCAACCTTTTGCTCCAGCTCTTTCCCGGTTTGCGCGGCTTTTGAGGTTGCTTCCTTGGCTGCTTCCATGACGGGATTATCTGATGGGAATCTTTGAATTCAGAATTGAGGGGACAGTTTCCAATATATGAGTGTTTGTTGGAAGTTCACATGTCATGAAACGGCCTCGGAGAATCCGCGAATACCCTCAGGGACTACACGCGATCTAGGTAGACTATGCCGCGTCCGGTCAGGCTTGCGAGGACAACACGTGTTTCTGAAGCAAAGCAATGACCTTGACAGCGCAGTCGCTCTTCATGGGCAACATCGTCAGTGGTCTCGCTGTTGTCACGAGACAAGGCATTTCCGACGCGTCGAGCTCGTGCGCTGCCCCTCCATCCCACCTTCCCTTCTTCCCAGCCCTCGAGCGCGGTTGCTTTCACCACCACACACCATGTATCGCAAATACGCTAGGTGATATACAGCCATGATCATTCCAGTCTTTGACATTACTTGATCTCCCGCGCTCTCCATCAGAGCGCCCGACCCCACCACCAGCGCAATGAAGTCCTCAGATCCCGGCCGACCCAGCAGCCGTCGCGCCGCCTCAGGTGCATGGAACCGGCTGAAGCCAGTCCGCGAAGATGTCCTGGAGACATACGGACTCCCTTCCAAAGGAGAGACACGGTACATCCCTCTCGCCCCATGCGTCTGGACACAATGGTTAACTTCCCAGGCTGAACGACTTCAAAACACAAGAAATCTACTTCAACCGCATAATAGAACGCTACATGAAACTCTGCGCCCTCAACCGCGACGAACTCGACCGCCTCTTCATATCCGTCAGCATCCCGCCTCCCGACACGACCACGACGACCAAGACGACGACGGCAGCGCCCAACTCCAATTCCAAACTCACATCCTCCTTCTCCTCGCTCTCGCTCTCCAAACACGCACCCCCAGAAGCCCGTCAACAACCCACCACCCGCCCACCCCTCGCCTCAACATCCACAAACACACCACATCAGCCCATACCCCAAAAAGCCTTCACGCCCTCCATCCAAGAACTCTCCACAGTCCTCGCCTCCCTCCGCAAATTACGAGAAGCCATAACCGCGTCCTCACGCACCGACGCATTCGCCCTGCGCGCCTACACCTTCGCCATCCACGTCAGCATTCTGTGCCACGACTGGTCTTCCTACCTGCCCTCTCTCCTCTCTCTCCTCGGGAAGATCCACCCCGTTAACCCGCTTTCGCCATCGACCCTGCACGAAGTGGTCGGCTTGTTGATCCTCGACCAAGCGTGTCGGCAATCTGATTACTCGGGCGCGCGCGCCACGAAACTACGGTATGGCTATAAAGATTGGAGGGTGGAGAAGGTGTTGCGGTGTTTGGTTGCAGATGACTATGTGGGGTTTTGGCGGGTGAGGAGGAGTGTGGATGGGTATCAGAGGAGGGTTATGGAGTGGGCGGATGGAGGGGTGAGGGTGCATGCGTTGAAGTGTTTGGGAAGAGCGTATTTGAGTGCGGATAGGGCGTTTGTGGAGAGGTGCGCGGAGAGGAGCTGGGAGGAGTTGGTGCAGGAGGGTGTGGGGTGGGAATTGAGTGCGGATGGGGAGAGGGTTTTGATTAAGAAGATGAAGGGATGAAGTAGCTTATGGGGGGATGGTGTTTTGATACCCAGTTGTATTGCATGTGTCTTGGGATTGAAGCATAGATTGGTTGAATTTCAGGATGAAGCGTTGAACATTCAGGGTATCATTAAGACTTTTCTATAAGACCACATCACTCATCCTCCATCTCCTCATCTTCATCTTCATCCTCTTCCTCCCCAGCATCAGCAGCATCCTGCCAAACATCATCGTCCATATCATACGCATCCAAAAGATCGTCATCCATCTCCTCATCCTCATCCTCCTCGCCTTCGCCCTCACCCTCCCCAGTCTCCCCCCTAGCAGCAGCCCTCTCCTTACGCTTCTTCTCCACATTCTCCTTCTGAACACGTCTCCTCTCCTCCTTCTCCTTGTTCCTCTGTGTCCACTTCTTCTCCAAATCCTGCTCCTCTTTCTTGCTCTTCTTGATGTACTCATGCCACATGATCTTGCCGCCACAGACGTCCTCTTCGACTTTTGTAAGGCGCAACTTCATGCGGGGGCCCAGTTCAACGAGCTTGACGGCGCGTTTCTCGACGCGGGGTTTTGAGCCGCGGGCGCGGGCGTGCGAGGTTTCGTCGCCGGCTTTTAGCTTTTCTTTTTCTTTGCGGGAGAGGACTTTTTGGCGGACGGGTTGCGCGACTTCGACTTCGGCGTCGGTGTCTTGTTCGGTGTCGGAGGCGGATGTGTAGCCGGCGGCTGAGGGGTCGAGCATGTAGTCTGCGACGTCCTGGAGGTGGAGTTAGTGGGTGTTCTATATGCATTTTTTGGGGGGTGACTGCTTACCTCGAGCTTGCCTAGGTTGGGCAGTGCGCTCTTCTTCTTCTCCTTGCTGCCAATGAGCTTCTCGGCTGCGTATAACCGGCGGATGGCTTTCGGTACGCCCGTGACTTTGGTTGTGATCGCGTAATGTCGCAGGCTGATTGTGACGGAGCCATTCTCTTCCGAGGGAGGTTCGCGGTTGAGTAGGAGGACGCGCTTGATCGAGTGTAGAGGGGTGGTGTGCGGTTGAATGGGCGGGAACAAGCCCTGGAACATGTCCGTCACGAGCTTCTCGAGATGCTTAGGAGGTGCCTTGTCGCCGAGTCGTTCTCTTTCCGCATCGCTGGTAAGGAAGTTGTTCATCACAAGCAGCGGCGCAACTAGGAAATCGTTTGCGCCAGCCCGTGGGCGTCTCATTGACTTGAGAATGTCTTTGCAGAGACTGTAGTTTTCGACTCGGAAATGGAGTGTAGGTCCGCGGGGGACACGGCATAGTCTGAGGTTGACGTTGCCGACTTCTGAGCGGGAGAAGAGGAGAAGATGGCTGACACCGAGCGGTCCACACATGACAAGGAAGTCCTTTGAGGCTGTTAGCTCAGATCATGCCGGCAATTATGTAAACCATACCTTGAGCTTATTCGCCCTTCGCTCCTTCAGCCGAATAGCGGTATCGGGCTCCAGGCAGTGGCGCACATCGTTTACGAGGTCTGAGACAGATCTTCCTACTCTGTAGCTCGTTAGCAATCATGTTGGCATATATCTCGATATGACTAGACTCACTCCTGCGCGCCAATACGAATGACCATAGATTTGGGGGTCCCTGCTATCGGCTTCTTGGAAAGCTCCTTGTCGCGTACCGACTGCTTCTTCCTCGCGGTTCCTTTTCCACGAGCCATTGCGAAAACTCAGTTATCTCTGACCGAGTTGGAGTATTGGCGGGTATTGTCGGTGACAGGATATGTTGTTCTTGCGATGCGATCTTATGTTTCACTCCACTAAGTCGGAGGATGGCGTGTTGGTGTTGACGAACGAATGATTCTGTCGCATGCAGTCGCAAACTAGAGCTCGCCGGCTTTCGAACTTTTAGGTGGGTCCGCCAAGATTTCGCGGTTTCTTAGGTTCCAACCGCGGTACCATGATTCTGTCGCACAACTTTTCCCAGACTCGACAATCACAACCACAACATGCCTGGCGTCACGAAAAGAAAACTTCACGCAGACGCGAGTATCGCCGCCGGTGCGTCGTCGAAGAAAGTGCGACCATCGAATGCACCTGCGAAGAAAGTCCAGAAGAAGCCTGCACCACCACCGGAATCCGAGTCCGGCGATGACGACGACGCCGAAGAGAGGGACTCAACCGATGTCGAAGAAGTCCAAGATGTAGTAGGCGACAGCAGTTCAAAAGACGAAGCAGGGCCCTCTACCACTGCCGACGCAACGAACGAAGAAGCGCAACCCGCCGCGAACGAACCGAAGAAGACCTTCGCCGATCTAGGCGTGCGCGAAGAGCTCTGCGATGCAGTTGAAAACTTAAAATACGTACACCCGACTCCTATTCAGGAGCAAGCTATACCTCTAGCCCTCCAAGGCAGGGATGTCATCGGATTGGCCGAGACAGGTTCTGGAAAGACGGCAGCGTTCGTCCTACCCATTCTTCAGTCGCTACTGGAGAAGCCACAGCCGTTGTTTGGTCTGATCCTGGCCCCGACACGAGAGTTGGCATACCAAATCGCGCAACAGGTGGATGCTTTGGGTAGCATCATCAACGTCAAGTGTGCGACGTTGGTAGGAGGAATGGACATGGTCCCACAGGCCATCTCGCTGTCCAAGAAACCGCACGTCGTAGTAGCGACGCCTGGACGTCTGCTTGATCGTGAGTCACGCACATATACGAACTATACGTGACTTCTATACTGACCACACCTACGTAGATCTGGAAAATACGAAGGGCTTCAGTCTGAAGCATCTAAAGTACATGGTTCTCGACGAAGCCGATCGCCTGCTCGACCTCGATTTCGGCCCCGTGCTAGACAAGATCCTGAAGGTCCTACCCAGGGAGGGACGACACACATACCTATTCTCCGCGACTATGTCCTCCAAGGTCGAGAGTCTTCAACGCGCCGCCCTACAAAACCCAGTCCGTGTGAGCATCAGCAGCTCTTCCCACCAAGTCGTCTCGACCCTACTACAGCGCTACATTTTCCTCCCATTCAAGTGGAAGGACCTCTACCTCATCCACCTCCTCAACGACAACATTGGCCACCCGACCATCATCTTCACCCGCACAGTCAATGAAACACAACGTATCTCCATCCTCCTCCGCACCCTCGGCTTCGGCGCCATCCCGCTACACGGCCAACTAGGCCAGTCCGCCCGTCTCGGTGCCCTCAACAAGTTCAAGTCAAAGAGCCGCGACATCCTCGTTGCCACCGACGTAGCAGCCCGCGGTCTCGATATCCCCGCTGTTGATCTCGTCGTCAATTTCGATCTGCCAAGCGACTCTCAGACTTACGTCCATCGTGTTGGTCGAACTGCAAGAGCGGGAAAGTCGGGTAAGGCTGTGTCCTTCGTTACACAGTACGATCTGGAGATCTGGTTAAGGATTGAGAATGCGCTGGGCAAGAAGATCCCGGAAGAGGCCATCAACAAAGACGAAGCGATGGTGTACGCTGAGCGC